AGAAAATGAAGGATTCTAATGGGAGGATTACAAGATGGTATCTCGCCATGCAGCCCTTCAGATTCAGGATACAACATGTGTCTGGTAAAGTCAACTGTACTACTGACTATCTCTCCCGCTCTACTGGCGAGATTTCTGAAGGGGGGGGAAATGTGACGGCCCAAGTGGAGTCCGCACAAGAGCGGTAATGTTGTGTCAGCTCTCACACGCACACATTCATTTACACCGACATTCATTCATTCATTTAAGAATTATTACGTTTCTTTCCTTATTTTGTCATATACACATTTATTTGTTTAGTATAATGGGACAATAACCACAGGGAACAAACAAACATCTATTAATTCTTTATTGTTAAGTTTACATTTACAACACATTTTTGTTTTACTTTGTTACTGATTTGAAGTGCACGCAAATTAGTTACATTGTACCTGTCACTTATATTTGTTTCTATTTTGAGTTTACCGGTGACCTTCAGGCATGGTCCACTGCAGCCGCATCCTGGCGTGGGAAAAGCGACGGCCGCATCCTGGCGCGATGAGAATTAGAGTCCGGGCAGGAACGGAGATTTTAAGTGTTGTTGGTTCCGCCCGGACATACCATTGCTGGGAGTGGTCCGGGGGAGGAAGAAATGTTAATATCTTTATTAATTGATTTCTTTAGTTATACATTTATGGTATTTGACTTCATGTTGCTTTCCTTATCTTTATTTATTATATATCTCTATTTTTGACTTGATTTTGATTTATGTAAGGTTGAATGTGTAGTTAAATTGTTTTCCCTCTTGATTTGTAATGGGCCCATCCTTTCCTTTATAAGTGGTTGTTTTGTTCATTTGAGCAGGTCAGTTTTAGTTTGTTTGGTTGTTTTTGTCTAATTGTTTCTGACTTCACTTTCTGTTTGTTTAGTTTATTTCATTTTTGTTGTAAGAAGTTTATGAGTTTGTAAAGTTGTTTGTTTTTGGGTTCAAATAAAGACCCATTTTTCATTATAAGGCTTGTGTTCCTTGGACTATTTTCTTTAATCTTCTTTAAGCGCAATGGAGCAAATGTGTCTAAAGTACTGGAAGAGAGAGAGTTAAAAGTTTCTGCCACAATCTCAAATTCTTCTAAGCTATCTGGGATGCTGAGATGATGAAACTGATCAGGAAGATTATTTATAAAGCAATCTTTAGTGGCAGAAGTGATTGGTCTAACATATTTGTAACACGGAGTCGGCTTTGCAGCCTTGGCTAAATGAAGTTTACACAAGACTAGGTAATGACCTGAGATGTCATCGCTCTGCTGCAGAATTTCAACGGCATCAACATTGATTCCGTGTGATAATATTAGATCTAGAGTATGATTACAACAATGAGTAGGTCCTGACACATGTTGTCTAACTCCAATAGAGTTAAGAATATCTTTAAAGGCCAATCCCAATGTATATCTACATGTATATCAAAATCACCAACAATTAGGACTTTATCTGCAGCGAGTACTAACTCTGATAGAAAGTCAGAAAATTCTTTGATAAAGTCTGCATGGTGCCCTGGTGGCCTGTATACAGTAGCCGGCATAAATCTCAACAGTGATTTATCATTTATCATCAAAGTTTATTGTTACATTAAGCACAAACACTTCAAAAGAATTATATTTGAAACTAGACTTCTTAGTAATTCTGAAAATATTACTATAAATTACAGCAACACCCCCCCCTTTGCCTTTCAGACGAGGCTCATGTTTATAACAGTAATCCTGGGGCGTGGACTCATTTAAAGTAATGTAATTGCTTGGTTTTAGCCAGGTTTCTGTCAAACACAACACGTCTAGATAATAGTCTGTAATAATATCATTAACAATAAGTGCTTTTGAAGTAAGGGATCGAATATTCAGCAACCCAAGCTTTATCATTTGCTCATTTGTATTATATCTGTTTTTTATTTGTTGAACATCAATTAAATTTGTACCCTTAGATGGGTTTGGAAGTTTTTTGTATGTCCTAATTTGGGGAACAGACTCTATATGATGATATCTAGGTGACAGAGTCTCTATGTGATGGGATTCATCTGACCTTGGTGATGTGCGACAGCTAGCAGACGGTCGGTTTAGCCAGTCTTTCTGCTTCCTGACCTGAGCCCCAGATTGTCATGTTTAAGCTCTAAGACTATGTGCCATATTACTAGAGAAGAGCAGCACCATCCCAGGAGGGATAAATACCATCTCTTTTCAACAGGTCAGGTCTGCCCCAAAAACTTTTCCAATTGTCTATGAATTCTATATTATTTACACAAACTTACACTTTGTTAACGAAGCATATTTTAATATTGTAGACAGCCCAAGGTCATCTTTTTGGACAGGTCACAGTCATGAAACTCTACATGCCTACTAGTCACTTTTATAAAAAGTTTCTTGTTTGCTAAGTTTTACTGACTTGATCTTTTAGTGGAAATTAAATATCAGAAATGTCTGTTAAAATGATTGGAAATACCATGGGGAAGCAGGGTCAGAATATTACTGATGTTGTCTGATGTACAAGGAAAAATGAGAGGTAAAATATAGAGCCACTTTTATTTCAAGGTGTCTATAATCACTTCATCTGAAACTGCGGGAAAAAAAGAGAGAAAGACACTATTTTAAGCAGCAGGTTTAAAACATAGTTTCACAGTTTTTTCATATTTTAAGCAACTTTGTTGTATGCTTTCCCTATTCAGAGTTCACGTAAATAGATGCTTTCTTTCCTCTCTCAATGCATCTGTTCCACCATGTCAAAATTTCACATTGTTCGAAAATGTCAATTCTTTCATTCAACTGACAACATTTAGAGACTGTAGTAGTATAGGTCTTTTTCACTGAAAATATTTTGCACCTGAGGTTTAATCTCAGACGAGCGTCAATTTAAATATGTTGCTGAAACAGAAAAATTGGCATATTTCCATCAGTGACTTTTATAAGATTACAGAACAATTTGACAAGATGTCTTTTTCACCCTCAAAGTCTCATGCTTTTGCAGATTTGCCTCTCTAAACATCCAAGTACAATTATACAATAATTATAACAATCACAGCCATTTTAGTTTCATTATATGATTTACATCACAACTTAAAGTTTAAAAATAATTTGTAATAATTTCATTATAAACGCCTTTCATAGTAAGGCCAACACATTAACACAATCACAGATACTTGTATAACTTCATACTGTTACCACAGACTTTCTAAAAAGTGAGACATTTCCATATCCGTCTCCCGCATTTGGTGAGAGCTGCATCAGGAGACGTCCATCCTCATGCTAAACCTGGGCTCGAGCCTGTCCTAAAGGGTGTGTAACTCGCATCAGCTGCGGTGTGTAACTCACATCAGCTGGGGTAGCTCAGGGGTCAATGCTTGGCCCCCTCTTTTTTCTATATACGTAAGATCACTGAACCCAGTCATGCAGGCACATACATATAGTGTGCTTCAGGATTTCTCCCATCCCGGTTAGGGTGAGGGCTGGCCATGTTGTTAAAACCAGTTTTCAACAAACAAATGATTTAAATGGAGAAAAAGAATATGGTCATTATCGCTAGCCATTTTCTATGAGAGGGGAAGTAGTTTAACTGACCTCTCACACCCATTCATAACCTACTTGGAAAAGTTGCTGTCTAGGCAAGGAGATAAACAGATGCATCGAAATGAAACCTTCTTGTTGTACTACTGAAAGATTTATCTTTATACCCAAATCTCAGTCGTTTTTAAAAGCTTAGCTTAAATATGAGCTATAAATACAATGCTCATAAACTGCTCTTAGGAGAGTATTCTCTCTTAAAACAGACCCAGAAACAGTATCTGATGTGTCACAACAGTGGATTATGCCTCAACAGATTATCCAAAATGCACAGTGACACGCTGGTGACCAACAACATACCCTTTTGTCTTCCCCCACAGGCTACCCTGTAGCTACCTACAATGAAAATGAATAAAACAAAATATTTTATTTAGTATTTATTGCAATAATAAAACAGCATGAAAAATAATACATAATTTGTTTCAATCATTACAAGCAACATGAGAGAAGAATTAACAATGTGCCTTGTCTTAATATGGATTTTGACTGAATATATAGAGAAGTCACTCTATATATACAGTACTGTGCAAAAGTCTTAGGTACATTATTATTTTCACCAACAAAAAAAGCCAGTTATTTATTTATTTTGCTGTAATGTGCGAGTAGGAAATATCAGTTTACATTTCCAAACATTCCCTTTTGCCATTAATCGTTATAATCCAGTGAGATTTTTCTATGCAGAAGGAGTCTGATATGATCTGATCTCACAGTCATCAAGTCTGTCTGGGATTACATGAAGAAACAGAAAAACACTGACACTAAATCCAGAAGAACTGCGGCAACGTCTCCAAAACACTTGAAGACACCAACCTGCTTGTGCATACGAAAATCTCACTGGATTATTACAATTAATGGCAAAAGGAATGTTTAACCAGCCCAGATGCACAACAAAATAACATGCACATCAGGGTCTCTAGTTTGAGAGAAAGATCCCTCATTTGTAGCTCATCCATCACCTTCATGTCAAATAAAAAGCCACATATAAATTATTGTGTGTGTGTGTGTGTGTGTAATTATTACTATTATTATAATACCAATAAAAGACCAATACTTCCAGGAAGACTAAAAACCATGCATGCCAACTAATGCAGTCCTTAAGAGTTATTCTTTCAGCTCATTTCAGAGCCTTAAAATAGTGGCAGGAGCCAGAAAAAAATAAAACTAATATCAGGATTTCAACAATCAAGACATTTCAGAAATCAATATTTCTCACTTGTCACATGTAGTGTGTAGTGTAGAGTCTGATGACTCTACACTGAAAGAGAAACTACATTCATCTTTGCTATATCCTTCATGTGAGGTCACTCTTTACTAGGCTAGACATTTACTAGGCCGTTATGTGTATTTGTGTGTATTTCTTTACAACTGCTCCATCTGTTGGAAGAGTACAGTTATTACAGTGACAAATTTTAATCAGAATCAATAAATAAAATAAATAAAAAACAGGCTTTGGTTAACCAACAAACTGCTTTAAATTAACAACAAAATATATTTTGGCAATGCATCTTTTTTTTAAAACAAAAGACTAAAAATGGAAATTAAAAGTTTCACCTAAAACAGTCTCACAGCTTTAAGGTTACTAAAACACTCAGTAGTACGTCCACTTGCATGAATTCTTACACACATGCCCTACTGTGATAGCTTGGCCCACAAAGGTGTTTGGTGGTAGAGAAGACATTTAGCTTGAACAGAAGCTGCAGTGTATCCCACCTGTGAGGTCAGTAATACTGCCTGAAGTTACCAGGCGTTTGAGGAAAACAGTCTCGGTCTGTACATTGTGCATGGCTTCCTTTAACATGGATGTCATGGGTTTGTCGTCATAGTAATGAAGAGGAACCTCTTTCTGGCTCAGATTATAGCCAAAGCCTGCTAAACTCACCTCATCACATAAGTAGGTTGCCAGGTTGAGAGCAGAGACTCCTAAAGTAGGGACATTCTAGAGAGGGAACAGGAAAATTAAATATATATGATATACATTACCAGGCAAAAGTTTTAGATCGGTAAGATTTTTTATGTTTTAAAAAGAAGTCTCTTCTGCTCACCAAGGCTGCATTTATTTGATAAAAAACTCAGTAATATTGTGAAATATTATTACAATTTTAAACAGCTGTTTTCTATGTGAATATATAGTATAGTGTAATTTATTCCTTTAACCAAAGCTGGATTTTTCAGCATCATTCCTCCAGTCTTCAGTGTCACATGATTCTTCAGAAATCATTCTAATATCATCAAGAAACATTTCTCTTTATTATCAATGTTGAAAACAGTTATTTACATTTTTTTTTCAGGATTCTTTGATGAATAGAAAGTTCAAAAGAACAGCATTTATCTGAAATAGAAAGCTTTTGTAACATTAAACACTACCGTTCAAAAGTTTGGGGTCAGTAATATCTATATATTTTTTAATTTTTTGTGCGAAATAAATAAAATAAATCAATACTTTTATTCATCAAGGATGAATTCAATTGATCAACAGTTACAGTAAAGACATTTATAATGTTACAAAAGATTCTATTTCAAATAAATGCGGTTCTTTTGAACTTTATTTATCAAAGAATCCTGATTTTTTTTCAAAATTGATAATAATAATAATGAATGTTTTTTGAACATCAAATCCACATAGTAGAATGATTTCTGATTTCTAATCAAATAAATGCAGCCTTGGTGAGCAGAAAAGACTTTTGAAAACATTAAAAATCTTACCGATCCAAAACTTTTGACTGGTAGAGTATATCCATTTTTTTTCTCCTATAAAACAAATGAAAAGGAACTCACCTGGTCCCAGCCCCAGAGCCGTTCTCTAGGATCGGGATAGTGAAGTAGATCCGAGGACGTCACCCTAATAATCTCCGGATTCAGGAGACGGAACTGGGAGGCCTTGATTGGAACACTCCCTGGCACATTCTGCCAGAAAAACAGCCAGTCCCACAGCGACTGAAAAATTCAAACTTGATGTTCAGACTGTATTGAGCAAGACTTAAAATGGCAATCATCTAAACAAGTACTCACAATGGATGTCTTGGTGATCATCGCACGAAGCCAGTGGAAGTCCACAGATTTATAGATCACAGCCACATATTTGAGATCTGAATCCATATCTTCCCAAACCTTAGGGCAGCTTTCAGGGTAACTCATCCTGATGGAGGTGCGGTTCCCAACATCTGCACTGAAATCTTGGACAGGACCACTGTTCAGTCTGCATAGAAACAAAGTTCCTCTGCTCTTTTAAATATTTACAACTAAACATTTGGCAAGTGTAAAACTCCTAAATGGGTTAGAAGACAGGAATTGAAAAAACTATGAGAAATACAAGTAATAAAAAAAAATGCACATGAAGCCGCTTGCAGTGGCTACTAGGAGTGGGAATAACCAAAGGCACAACGATACGATATTATCATGATTCTATACAATGCAAACAATATATTATAACAATATTATTGCGATTTTACAAATTTTTCCATATGCTGAATATTACAATAAAATATATCGTGATTTATTAACTTTTAAAACTGGAAATGTCTGCATAAGTTTTTATCTAATAAGATAAAGTTCTCAGACTGTTCATTTCACATCTTCACATCCATCTCTTTAGTCCCTTTTAGTCGTATTTCAGACATATTTTTTATAATAATTACAGATGTCAAATAAGAATATTTGGTCAGTGTATTTGTTTTAACCAGTTTAACAAAGCTTAATAACACTATAATGAACAAGTCAAAGATCTCACTATACACCTTTTCAGTTATGAAATGTAATTGTGTATTTTAAGTTATGTTATTTAGGAAGATACATACATTTTCCAATAACAAGATACTTAAAAGCATACAACTTGGACGCTAGATGGTGCTATGGGCTTATTTTCGTTATGAAACAGCTCCTAGGCCTACACAATAACACAAGCCACTTTTATTTTAAAGGTGCAATAGTGATTCTCTACAGAAAGATTTTTGTTATGCTGGTTGAAAGTCTCCTCATATCCTGATAGCAATCCCTATGTTAAGTGGTCTAAATGTATTTTTATAAATATATATCGTCTATGGAAAGCGTAGGAGCATAAAATGTTCGTTCAATCATCGCATTCGGTCCAAATGAAATGTGTTCCCTATCGCGTTGACATACGCTGTGCAGACAGACCAAGAATGGCAGGCAAACAGTTGTTTACGTTGGTTATTGTAGTACTGTTACTCACTGTACTGTAAAGTTTTCTCACTGGTGAATGACACATGATATAATCCTATAACGTTGTCTCTGCTCATCTCGCTTCTGGTCTGTTCGCGTTCATGTATTTGAGGAGGTGTGGCTTTGGACAGTGAAACGGCATTTTTCCATCTTAAAAATATATCTAAATTATGTCATATGGTCTCAATGACAAATACGGAACAATTTGTTCATGCGTTCATGACATCAAGCCTAGATTATTGTAATGCTATTATGGGGGGTTGCCCTGCACGCTTAATAAACAAACTACAACTGGTCCAAAACGCAGCAGCTAGAGTTCTTACTAGAACCAGGAAGTATGACCATATTAGCCCGGTTCTGTCAACACAAGACATCGTATAAATTTTAAAATATTGCTGATTACTTACAAAGCACTAAATGGTTTAGCTCCCCAGTACTTGAGCGAACTTTTAAAGCATTAAAGTCCTTCACGTCTATTGCAATCTCAAAATTCCGGCCAGTTGGTAATACCTAGAAGATCAAAATCGACTGCTGGCGGTAGATCATTTTCCTATTTAGCACCAAAATTTTGGAACAGTCTTTCTAACATTGTCCGGGAAGCAGACACACTCTGTCAGTTCAAATCTAGACTAAAAACACATCTCTTCGACCTAGCATACACATAAGACTTCTATAATTCAATGTTAGGCTGCATAGATCAGCCGGAACCAGGAACACTTCCCATAAATCCTGATGTACTCATTACATCATACGAAGAATGGCGTCTATGCTAATATTAGTCTCTCTGTCTATCCCAAGGTTGACCGCAGTCTGCTGGATCCAGGCCGTATCCAGATCTGATGCAGGACTTGCGCCTGGACACGACGACAACGCAGTCCTGAAGTGTCAACTAGTCTCTCCCCTGTGAAGACCTCCTTCCTTCCCTTTACCTCTGTACAGATAAAATGTTGTCAAAATAGTTCCGGTTCACATTGCTACTCGGAAGGGATAAATAATTCTGCGAATAAGCGGAATATAATTTAAAAAACTTATTTTAAAAATAAATATTTTTTTTAATTGTCGACTGTAGACGCTTGGGTGTCGACTGGAGACACCCCAGGTAAACTTAAGTCAGGTGGGTAGGGGAAAAATCTACCACATTCCCCACAGACCTTATTTCAAGCATTCAACCAAAACCCATTAAAAAACCCTTTGGCTGTGTCCGAAATCGCCCCTTATATATATATCCTTGAACAAGGCACTTTTTGAAGGGACAGCCAATTGTAGTGGTGTCCAATAGGAGGATCTTTGTTGACATCTTTGTACGCATGCGCGAGTGGTTGTGTGGCAACAAAACAAACAGTATGGCGGGCTGTAAAGACGCGAAGAGCACTTTCAAGAGAGTTAGCGGGCGAAATCCACAATATATAAGCACTTTAACATCTGAAGACCGGAGGAGGTTTGGAGAGAAGCTCAAAATTTGTATTGGTGACAAAATCGAAGTTATTCAAAGCCCATATGAGATCTGGGATGACAAAAAACGTTGGTCCGACTCGCCTGTGTCTTGGCCACCAATCTGCTGGGGAGACATTTATTCTTATTTAATAGAAACCCCTGGACCCTTCACTCATGAAAGATTAAAGGCTTTCAAAAGTCTGGAGGCCAATGATTATTTTGTTTCTCGAAAAGTTGGGCCGATCTTTTCTGCCAAACAGAAAGCAGTGATCGTGCTAAAAGCAGAGGTTAGACCTGGCCAAGCAGAGTCACAGCGTGATTCGCATCTCCCGTGGGTGATCGCCAAAGAGAACGACGAAATAATCACTGCGACTTTTTTTTTTTTTTTTTTTTTTTTTTTTATCTTTTCAATCTTCTATAAATACATAGTCACTAAGACTTACCATGAACAAAATGAGCCTCACAAACTCGATCAGAAGCTGCAGGAATCCAGGCTTTCTTCGGAGCGTCCAGGTTCAATCGCCTAGTTGCACAATGCACGCAACCATTTCTTTCGTTTTTCACGATCCTTTTCGAAGGGAATTTGAAAAAACTTTTTATCAGGCCCCCAACGAGCCGTACAATCGACCACACAGCAAGAGTGAACCATCCTCTTCTCTACATCCTCCTCCAAACGTGCAAAACAATCAAATTACAGGTATCTAGCGGTGTTTCCTGCCACACGATTCCCATGATGCAACGCGACAAACATAAACAATGACGTCACAAAAGATCCGCCTATACCATAGTGGACGTTAGAATGCACTCATTCAATCTCACAATGCACTGCAATAACGATTGTACAACTGGGCTGTGTTTGAAATTGCTCCCTATACCCTCAATCACTATTCCCTACTTTACTCCACTAATATAGTTCACTTCACTTGACACGGTTACACTTTATTTTAAGGTGTCATTGTTATAGTGTAATTATATATTTAAGTATAACCCTAACCGGCTCAATCCAGACGGTTGTCGTGCTGGTCCTGTAGTTGCAGCGTCGCGTGTGCTGACGCCAGTGGTGTAGTCTAGTTTTTTGTAGTGAGTATACTGTGATATTACCCCCCCCCCCCCCCCCCGTGTGAAAACTTGTGTGATATTCCTTTAAAATTATGTTTTAATAGATTTGATTATTATTATTATTTTAAAAATTAGGCTATATCTTACTATGCAATTTCTTAATAATTCCTTCGAGCTACTTTCTATCTCTCTACAAACTTTTATTATGGTGGGTTGTAAATTAAAGACATTTGAGCTTCTGTGTGTTTTAATAAACTATTATTATTATTATTATTAGGCCTACTTGAAGTATACTCTACTGTGCAATAGTAATATATTTCTGTTATATTTTCTTCGTTATACAAAACTTCTATTTTGACAGGTTGTCATGAAGACTTTAAAGTTTGTGAGTGTATATGATACGAATGAATGACGATTGTTTTATCAAATGAAATGGTAAAATTCTTGTGAAGTGACTCTCATAAAAGGTCTGCGATGAAGTTCAAAATTCAAATGTGTGCATGTCCTCCTCATAGACGCTGAAAACACCATGAGTGTCACGCGCGCTTCAGTGTGTAGCTAGTAGAGCACACTTTGAGCGCTCATTCACAGAAAAACGCAGAACATGCAGAGTTTATTTCTATAGCAGTCTTTTTGAGCTTTACACACTAGTACACTAGTTTACACACTAGTACATATCGAGATTTGATTCGTTGTACATCCCTACTTTTGATTTATTCTTTCAAAAATGGCCAAATTGCGTGACGTTCCGCTTTACAGTAAGTTAGGCTAAGTTACATTTGTGACTGGATTCCGCGATTCGATCCGCTGCGCAAACACAGACGGCGGGGTGAATTTATGAATGAAAGTTCTGTCACAAAACGATGTTGTTACGAATACTCGCGCTTTTTTAAGTGGGTATACGGAGATCCTTGGCCTTTCCTAGTGGGTATACGGAAATCCTTGAAATTTTCTAGTGGGTATACGGCGTATACCTGCGTATCACGTAGACTACACCACTGGCTGACGCGCCAAGTACACTGCAGCCGTTAACGCCAGACAGAAGGGGAGTCACACCACCGTATGGAAAGAAGCGTAAATGGATGGAGAAGCATAGTTTACTGTAAAGCTACGTCTTAGTTCTTATCTTGGCGAAAGCCGAGTACAAATCAGCATGAAGTTTTAACATCTACTCTCGTGTAATGGAAATCATTGAGTAATATTAAGTAACTACATGTACTTACTATGAATAAATGAATGAGGCATTTATATAGCACTTTTCATATGTACAACTGTACACCCAAAGCGCTTTACAATCATATCAGGGAATCTCTCCTCCACCACCAGTGTGTAGCATCCACTTGGATGAAGCGACGGCAGCCACAGTACAACAGTGCCAGTGCGCTCACAACACACGTGGAGAGAGGAGAGAGAGTACTATAGGGTCAGGGTAGGATTAGGATTAGGCTGAGGGTTAATTGCATGTAATTATGCATAATTTACTGTTATTACTATGGTAAGTGCATGTTACATATGTAACAAGGACACTGTAAAATAAAGTGTTACCGATAAAGCAATAAATGTACATATCACTTCTCTGCTGTTTTTTAAAACTTTCGTATGCACAAAATTCTATTTTTTTATTTGCTAGTTATATAACTTCATTTATATATATATATATATATATATATATATATATATATATACACACTCACCGGCCACTTTATTAGGTACCCCATGCTAGTAACGGGTTGGACCCCCTTTTGCCTTCAGAACTGCCTCAATTCTTCGTGGCATAGATTCAACAAGGTGCTGGAAGCATTCCTCAGGGAGTTTGGTCCATATTGACATGATGGCATCACACAGTTGCCGCAGATTTGTCGGCTGCACATCCATGATGCGAATCTCCCGTTCCACCACATCCCAAAGATGCTCTATTGGGTTGAGATCTGGTGACTGTGGAGGCCATTTTAGTACAGTGAACTCATTGTCATGTTCAAGAAACCAATTTGAAATGATTAGAGCTTTGTGACATGGTGGAAGTAGCCATCAGAGGATGGGTACATGGTGGCCATAAAGGGATGGACATGGTCAGAAACAATGCTCAGGTAGGCCGTGGCATTTAAACGATGCCCAATTGGCACTAAGGGGCCTAAAGTGTGCCAGGAAAACATCCCCCACACCATTACACCACCACCACCAGCCTGCACAGTGGTAACAAGGCATGATGGTTCCATGTTCTCATTCTGTTTACGCCAAATTCTGACTCTAACATCTGAATGTCTCAACAGAAATCGAGACTCATCAGACCAGGCAACATTTTTCCAGTCTTCAACTGTTCAATTTTGGTGAGCTCTTGCAAATTGTAGCCTCTTTTTCCTATTTGTAGTGGAGATGAGTGGTACCCGGTGGAGTCTTCTGCTGTTGTAGCCCATCCGCCTCAAGGTTGTGCGTGTTGTGGCTTCACAAATGCTTTGCTGCATACCTCGGTTGTAACGAGTGGTTATTTCAGTCACTGTTGCCCTTCTATCAGCTCGAACCAGTCTGGCCATTCTCCTCTGACCTCTGGCATCAACAAGGCATTTCCGCCCACAGAACTGCCGCTCACTGGATGTTTTTTCTTTTTCGGACCATTCTCTGTAAACCCTAGAGATGGTTGTGCGTGAAAATCCCAGTAGATTAGCAGTTTCTGAAATACTCAGACCAGCCCTTCTGGCACCAACAATCATGCCACGTTCAAAGTCACTCAAATCAACTTTCTTCCCCATACTGATGCTCCGTTTGAACTGCAGGAGATTGTCTTGACCATGTCTACATGCCTAAATGCACTGAGTTGCCGCCATGTGATTGGCTGCTTAGAAATTAAGTGTTAACGAGCAGTTGGACAGGTGTACCTAATAAAGTGGCCGGTGAGTATATATATATATATATATATATATATATATATATATATATTAGCATTATTATTATAACATTATCAAAAGTTTAACTATATCGTCCAGCCCTAGAGGTCCTTTAGCTAAAATCACACAAATTAATAGGAGCAGGCTCTCACCTGATGATGATATCGAACTGATTAAGAAGAGGTCCAAGTCCTAATCCTTTCAGTATCCCTCCATTTCCAATCACTACACATCGATGACAATCTCGCACTCCATGTCTCGATTCAGAAGAGGCTGGTAGGAGGTTCAAGATTTCCTGAAGCTTGTTCTTCATATTCATGAAACCAAACGGTGGGGGATACTGGAATATTTGTTCATTTAAATGAGTGTTCTTGTCCAAAAAGGGCTCTACCACTGGTGTGGAGCTGTAATGTTCAGCTTTCATTCTCTGTCGGGCAAAAGAAGGTCTGCATTCTTTGGCCAGTATCTCTCTGACATAGGAATGGATGCGCTGTAAGTGAAAAACAGTCCTTAAAGGAATAGTTCACTTACAAAATGAAAATTATGTCATCATTTACTAACCACCACTCAAGTTGTTTCTAACCTGTATGAATTTCTTTCCTCTGCTGAACACAAAAGAAGATATTTTGAAGAATGTCGGAAACCAAACAGTTGATGTACCCCATTGATTTCCATAGTATTTTTTTTCCTACTATGGATGTCAATGGGGCCCATCAACTGCTCGGTTACCGACATTCTTCAAAATATCTTCTTTTGTAGCTAATGTAAATGGCCTTACGTTGAAATGGACATTTAGTGCCATGTTTCTACAGTAGCCCTAAACGGAGAAACTGGCCGGGGGTTAAAAACAGAGCACGTTTCGTCACTATGTTGTTCTTCATGCAAAGAAGCTAGCTAAAGTTAGTGGATAAAACACTAACACAATGATGAACAAGTTACAATAAAATTTGCAATAACATATCGTTTTACTTAAATTAAGAAATTATATTTATTTAATTATTATCTTTGTAAAGAAACCTCATTGCTTTACTGGCTACTCTCTGCGGTCTCCACAGTAACTTCTGTTGGTTGCAATTCGCAACCTCACCACTAGATGCCGCAAAAATTTACACACACTGCACCTTTAAGGCATTTTAGGTATTATAAACATTAAAACACAAGCAGTATGAATTTCTGTAAAGCTGCTTCAAAACAATGTATAATTGTGAAAAGTGCTAAACAAATAAAGTTGAATCGACTGTTTCCTCAGTCGATTAACAGTGAAGGAATTTTTTGTTCCGGTCCTGGGAATTTTAAAGTGTATTCCACTTCAACAAATAGACAAGGAAAGTTTATATGGTAAAAACCCTTCAAATTTCTATTTGTTTGTGTGTTTGACGGTTGGTTAGAGGGCGAGAAGTGAGTGCTTCACTGTTTCAGTTCGCTGATTCAGAGTTGCCGCGATCATTCCCTGTGTGCTCCGGCACTGGTGACGATCCCGTTCCTAAAGAGCAACACGGGTGTGAGTGCGTCTTTCTCAAGATGCCATTCCATCCGTGCGTTTCTGGGTGTGGTAAGGCTCTGTCCCCCTCTGACGGTCACGAGAGCTGTATCGCGTGTTTGGGCTTACAGCACGCTGAGGCAGCTCTCGTGGATGAGGCATGTTCCCATTACGGGAATATGACCATCTTGGTGTTGAGCGTACGTGCAGTCCCCGCCTCTGGGCCCCGCCTTAGTCTTTCTTCAGGGCTACCTTCCCAGAAGAGGGCTGGGGTGCCGTCCGAGCTGGGTGATCTGAGGATTATAGTGAGGGGTAATCTGCCCGGCAAAGCCCCGTTGATCCCTCACTCTTTCACACCGCAACCGGTGGAGCTCCCCGTTGAACGTGCTGGTCCCTCTGTAGTGGACCAACCAGCCGTTTCAGAGAACAGTATGTCTATCGCAGCATCGGGAGGGGAGCTGAGCTCTAGAAATGACGACTCGGCTGTGCTGCCTCCCTCTGGGAGACCAGCGTTGCCCGAGCCAGATCCAGAGATGACAGCTATGATGAAAAAGGCCGCCGAGGCGGTAGGGCTCACGTGGAACCCTCCACCATGTCCCAAGCGGTCTTGGTTGGATGATTGGTTTCTCGGGGCGGGCCGGGCTGGTTCTCAGCCCGCCGCCCCGGTGCCTTTCTTTCCTGAATTGCATGAGGAGCTTACGAGGGCATGGACGGCACCTTTCTCTGCCAGAAAACACCTAAGTAGCTCCTCCCCCTCACTTCCCTTGATGGGGGAGCGGTGAAGGGTTACGAGGCTATCCCTCCAGTGGAGCGGTCTGTCGCGATGCAACTGTGTCCGACGGCCGCTGCCTCATGGAGAGGTGATTCTCGTCACCCCTCTAAGGCCTGTAAGTTCTCGTCCGTTCTCATGGGCAAGGCTTACAAAGCTTGTGGGCAAGCCACTTCCTCTCTGCATGCCATGGCATTGCTTCAGGTCCCCCAGGCACTCATGAACATGCACGAGAGTAGTCCGAGTAGACAAAGGGTCCCACTGAAAGAACTTTCAGAGGCTCCTGGGGCATATGGTAGACTATGGTAGACTTCCTCCACATGAAGACCGCTTCAGCACTGGCTTCATGGTCGAGTCCCGAGGTGACCGTGGCAGAGCGGGACGCCCTGTGTGACAACAGATCACCCCAGCCTGACGCCAAATCCTCAGCCTGTGATCAGACCTTCCGTTTCTCCAGGCCAACCGCTCCTAGAACTAAGTCCACTAACACTGACTGAGGTGCCATGTACAAAGGGCATGCTTTAACGGTGGCCGGGGCGACCTCCGACTACATTTGCATTCATTACCTCAAGTTGTTGCAGTTCACCTCGTTTAGAGCCACGTTGCGCTAAGCTTCCCTCGCATGTTACAACTCGTCAGACACCTCCTCTTTGGAGTCAGAAGCTTCTGAGGTCGCTTCATTCCACTATTTCTTCTGGCCTGCTCAATCACGGCTCCAGTCGTGAAACGACTTTAAGGCACGAAAAGGGAAACAGGAAGTGTGTTATAACTTCAGCTGTATGTTCGTTGAAGGAGACTGATCACATGGATGTGACTATGGTGTGTAAAAATCATAGTACCACCAACTGCAAGCAGAAAGTGAGTCACTTATTTTTACCCGATTTGTTTCTAACTTTGTCAGACTAATGTCAAGACATGACAGATGTAGACCAACGTAAGGATTCTTAATATCTTAAATACTGTTGACATGGCAGCGGCATCAAAGTTCAATAATCTTTTTGGATGCTTTTGAGACTCTTAGGATGCTAAGAATCGAATTTAATTGCATAAAACTCAACACACACATCAGAGTTGTCTGCCAATAGACATGGGAAAAACCTTAGAAATGGGCGTGTAGGAGGGGCTCTATAGTGCCACCTTTTGACTAAAGTGGGGAGATTAGTTTTACCTACAGTCACCAAACTCGCTACATATTGTTCTCATCGAGCCGGACAACATTCTGATTTACAGTCATTAGCTCCGACCAACAGGAAGTCAGATATTTTAGTTTGAATGTGCATTTTCTTAATAAACAGGCTCTGCATTTTTTAACTCCTCCTCCTAGGGGATTCATACAATGCACACCAAACTTTCTAAACATGATGACAAGACATTGACATCAAGTATCTTCTGAAAATTTGGACTAAACCACTCAATTCATATGGATTAGTTTTACAATCTCTTTATGAACTTTTTGAAAAATCAAAGTGGTAGTTGTGTAGCGGTCAATGAAGGGACAGAAATCTTTAAGATTTCATCAAAAACATTTTCATTTGTGCTCTGAAGATGAACGAAAGTCTTACGGGTTTGGAGCGACATGAGGGTAAGTAATTAATGACAATTTTAATTTTTGGGTGAACTAACCCTTTTAAGAGCATTTCTGAGAAGTTTGATACAGACGGGCCTTAATAAACTTTTCTGCGGCAGCAGCCAAATCTGGCACCACAAATGCAATCCAGACTACTCCATTTATATTTGTGAATCAATATCACAAAATTCTCCAAAGAACAAAATTACAAATACAATACAAATTTATGCATTTAGATTTGTCATTTTGAATTGAAAAGTTTTTGATTTGATTAAGCCCATCAAAGCTAAATTAATTTGGGTGGACCACAGAAATGGTGTAGATACTTCCTGAATCTGATGTAAAATGAAAAAAAGATATACCTCTTGGTAGATGGGGTCTACTGGCACTTCAACAGGCTTTGGGTCCGTGTGAAAGAGAGGCAGTTTTATAATTCCCAGCGAAATCAATGCCAAGCTCAGAAGAAGAATAAGCAGCCTTTTGCTAATGTAAAAAGGGTCAGATACTTAAAATTAGTAAAATTACATTTTTACATTAATGTTAAACATGTTTTAATTGTTTACAGATAAGGAAGAAATTTTAATATGATCATGTCTACTGTTTACCTTGGTTGAAAAAGCCACGGTTTAACAGCTCTCATGGTGGCATCTGACCACCAAGTCCTCTTCTTACTTTTACTGCCTAAAACAAGAAGCCCTCGCTTCCACATGTGACAGATGACACCTAAAAGCAGAACAAAAAAACAAACTGATCACTTTAAATAGCACAAATAAAGCAGTGCTGACGCATTTCATTCAATGCTGTCTATATCCCATAATGTCTCAAGCTTCAGATCCACTTGCATTTCACACCTTCCTCAATCTGCTTTACCAGCAGTACACTCTCACATAATTCTCTCATTCTGCATGGAAACAATGCACATTCAATTGACATACTGTATTTAAAGTTAGAAGTTAAGGTTAAGTAAATTATCACAAACATTCTCACAATTCAGTATTTTTGTTCCTACTATGGAAGTGTAGTGAACTTATTTTTTCTAAAGTGTAGGAGACTCAGAAGCGAAGACCAGGAGACTCGGTGTATCTTTTCTAAGCAGGATTCACTTTATTGCTGTTGCATCGCTGTAGTCTGTTTCGTTCAAAAATCTTAGCCAAGTCTAACTAAGGGCAAAATACTTTGTGTTCATAGATCTCATCAGCATAACAGGGTGATTCAAATGTAAATATTCTAATCCAATCAGCAGGACTATTCAATGACTGGGACAGTGGCTCCGAGAGCCATTAGAACAAAGGGTGAGAGTTTCAGTAATCTGACTCATTTAACTTACAATAGAGAGCTCTGGACAGACAGGAAAAGGCAGGTTTGTGACATTTACCTTAGTTACAAAATTCACACTAATAAACTTCCTCAGTTTATATACTATAAATCTAAATTAAACATTTTAATAAATATGTAATCCTACAGAAGTCAATGGGGTACATCAACTATCTGGTTACCAACATTCTTCAAAATATCTTCTTTTTGTGTTCAGCAGAAAAAAGAAACTCATACAGGTTTGAAACAACTTGAGGTTGAGTAAATGATGACAGAATTTTCATTTTGAAGTGAACTAATCATTTTGTTATATATAATCACAATATAAATATTTTTTTGTATCTTTAGGTTCGGTCTTAAAATTGATAGAGTGAACGCTAAACGAATCAGGACTACGTATCATTTTCTTTTTTGGTCCAGACCAAAACAACCAAGAGAACCGAACTACAAGTGTGAACACAGTGTAAAATCAGTTTTTATTCACATTTTTTTTGTTAGTTTTAAAAACATACATTCACATGCTATAGGTATATATAAACCCTTTATATTAAACAAAAGTTAAAAATACCATGGTATTAGTACATTATGTGGTACACATACTATGATAATAAACATCAAATATATAAATACTACGGAGCCCCCCTAGTCCCACTTTGTCAAAATTTTTTATTATAACCATCTCGTGGCTAAGAGATACTATCTTGAGGCCACGAGTTACTTATCTTGAGGCCACGAGATAATTATAATAATTTTTTTTGACAAAGTGGGACTAGGGGGGCTCCGTAATATACCATATTATATTAATAATCTTTAGTAGGCTACCATATAGGCTGCACGATATTGGAGAAAAACTGACACTGCGATATTTTGTTTTTCTGCAATAAATATAAAATCACCAGATGACTTGAATAGCACTGTTTAGAAAGGATTGTAGAGGAGAGAATGGTCCAAAACGCAGCAGCAAGAGTTCTTACTAGAAACAGGAAGTATGACCATATCCCTTACGAAAAACAAAAATATATTGCAGTATATTGGAAAATATCATGTGATATATTAGGCAAAATATTTCCATATATGGAATTTAATATTTATATTTTCCAATATATTGCAATATATACATAGACCATATGTATATACACTCACCTAAAGGATTATTAGGAACACCATACTAATACTGTGTTTGACCCCCTTTCGCCTTCAGAACTGCCTTAAAGGGGTCATATAATGATACATGCACTTTTACAAGTTGATTGTACTGAAATGTGTGTTGGCAGTGCCTGTACACAACCATCATATAATGATAAAAATCCATCCAGTGTTTTTGTTTTAATCTCCTTATATGTTTTCCCCTGTCTCAAATCAAGCCGTTCGACCGTGTGACGTCACACGGTCGGAAGCCCCTCCCACGATTGTTGATTGACAGCAGCGTTTCAACACAGACCAGCCCTCGCTCGTGAGCGAGCTGTCAATCATAGTCCGCGCAGAACTGAAGTGAGTGTAACGTTTTATTAACCTTTATATTAATATTTATATTAATCTTTGCAAATCGCTTGCACACTTCACAATGAATGTGCCTAAGGTTTACACTCAGGATACATTACGACATGTTTTCTATGTACGACGTTCTCAATATAATTCATAATCCCACGTTTATAATGAACAACGCGTTACGGTTATTGTGTTCCAAACGGTGTACGCACAGAACAGAGGGGCGGAGTGAGCAAAGCTCTTTATCATTTAAAGTCATATGCACTGAAACGGCGTGCTGTTTAATGAAATTATATTTTCTTAAATGCATGTGATGTAAATAGCCAGTTTCTTTTAGGTGCATTCCAATCTTACTTTGAGATTGCACGTAGTACACGCAGGACACGAAGGCCCCGTAACCCACAAGGCCGTTTGTCTCTTTCTCTTTCTCTGGGATCAGTAGAAAGGTTTATAGAGGGTCCTAAAGGCAGCGTGGACACATATGATCCTTCGTTGGCCATATGGTCAAGCTATATTGAGCATTACTATATCGAACTTTAATTGTTGTATTAGAATGTATTCTTTCCAGTATATTTCCTTCCTTGGGAGTAAATGCCAGTGATCTGTTTTTCTCCCAAACGAGTGAATGTTTTAGCATTATGTTTTGGTATACTTAACTGATAATAAGGAGCTCAGACTCTCTTCAGCCTTGATGGGAGCTGTTATTTGCTAGTGTCTGTTATTTGTGTGTGTGTGCGTATGACATTCTATGTAGGTTCTGGACGTTCGGACCAGACACCCCGGCGCCCTTCTCTAACCTGCGAGGCCACCACAGACCTAAATCTAATGAGTGGACGACAACTATCTTGACTAATGGCGATAGGCACCCCTATCTCCTCACATGTGTTAAATTGTTTAGGCTTTCATGTTTCTTAGCCAATGAGAATCATTCAACCTGTAAGCAATGACGTAGCTTAGACCTTGGAAATGGTATAACTGCTGTGATCTTTGTAACTGTAAGGGAGGCGGCCTACGAACTCCTGTGTGAGTCTTGAAGCTGACTTCTGCTGATGAAAATGCAAACTATCTTCAGTAAAACTTTTCTTTAATTTTTTATAATTCTGACTCCGGGTCTTCATTCTTTATATCTGGTTCTGGGTCTTTGACTGTATACCCCTTACAAAAGGGTCTGATATAACTAGGTCTGGAATCATACAGATGTAAACATTGTGGGTAGAATATTAACTTGTACGCTACCTGGATTATGTTGATTTGTCTTTATCTTGATTGCACATTGAAGGGATAATTTCAGGCGTCTAATTTGAAGAGATGGTTCATTTGCTTGAGTATAGACTTTAGACTGGAGAGGTCCTGAAAGCTCCTGAAGGAAAATCTCAATCTTTGATGGTGAATAGTGTCTAGCATTCGCAAATACGATTTTCTAGCAGAGCTAACAAAAAAAAAGTGTCAAAATATCCTTGTAAACAGTGTTATGTCATAAAGGGGACCTATTGTGCAAAATTAATTTTGATAAGGTGTTTGACCACCGATGTGTGTCTAGTGTGTGTAAACAACCAGCCTATAAAAATCCACCCAATACTTTTTTTTATAATCCCCATAAATAATTAACTATCTCTCCAAACACCTGGTTTCAGATTTCCCCCTACTCTTACGTAAAAAAGGCATAAGGTCTGTAAATATTTGTTTGCTGTTAGTGGTAACGACAACAAGTGTTTCTGTTTATTTCGCTGTGTATGTTGATGATATCAATCAACATTGGGAGAGAGATAGTTTATGGATAAGACTTCAATGCGCAGTTCTTGTACTGTGTTTATTCAGCTCTTACATTGATTCTCTGGAGTAAAACTAACGGTTCCTGTTTTGTGTGATGGACAATAAACTACATAAAATTCATCAGTAAAGTTTTGGCCATCATTCGGACGAGGTCCGCTCAAACAGGCTTGTACTAATAGTGGATAAAAGCAAGATGAGAACATAAGTTAAAACCATAATTAATTAAACTAAACTATACCTGTTCTATCTCCATTCAGCATATATTCTCCGCTACTGACTGAGAGTTTCAGATATTTTCAGTGCATCCTGACACTGGAGCAGAGCTCTTGAAGCTCCGCCCTCTTCTTGAAAGAGGTTGGGAGCAGCAGCTCATTTGCATTTAAAGGGATACACACAGAAAAGGCGTGTTTTTGCTTACCCCCCAAAAGTCAGTAGCAACTCATTGCAGTACAGGAGATCCAGGGGGCGGAGTTGGATCCAGATCTAAGGGGTGGAGATGGGTAGGATTAGGGGTGGGGTTAGGGATCAGGGGGCGGAGATGGGTAGGATTAGGGGTGGGATTTAGGGATCAGGGGGTGGAGATAGGTAGGATTAGGGCTGGGGTTAGGGATCAGGGGGCGGAGATAGGTAGGTTTAGGTATATGTAAGGTGGGAGGAGTTGGATCTGGATCCAACTTCTCCCCCTGGATTTCATGTTCTGCAGTGAGGACCATCTCCAAAAAGTGGCCATTTTAACATGCAATAAAAAATTATCAAGTGATCAAGTAGGTGTGATTACCCGATGGGACACACTCATAGTGTTGCAAAAATGTAAGTGTTTACAGAGCTTTAGCATTTTAAAATAAACTTCTAAATGTCTGTTAAGCAGTGGCGGCTGCTGGTCTTTCAAAGAGGGGAAGCTCTTTTTTTTTAAACTCGACTGTCAGGTGTGGGGATGGCGAAAAGAGTGAGGACTCAAGTGCAGAGTTGATGGGCTTTATTTTAATAATAATAATAAAAAATAATAATACAAACAAAAACTACGAACCACCACAGGACTGCAAACACAAGGAGAATAAATAGGGAGCAAACAAGGCAGATAACGAGGGAGGATAGGTGGGGCAAATTAACTAATAATCAGGAAACAAGATGGGAGTTGACACAATCGTCAGGAGAGCA